TCAAGGATTTAAAGAAATTCAATTTAATATTTAATATTGTATAAAATTCGCTTGTTAACAGTTGCAAGAAAAATGTTTGAATAATAATGAAAATTTTCTGCTTGATTGACGAACCACAAAAATCACATAAATCTAAAATTTCCAAAATTACAAAGTTGAAATGAACACAGTACAATAAAAGGTAATAACACAAATACAAACCCTACATCCAGCAACTAAGTCGAAACTAACAAAGTTGCAACTTAAATTTAAGTACCAACTTAAAATTTACCTCTATTCATAAGCTGAAATTAGTCAAGAACGTAAACCTACCGGTACGTAAACCCGAGTCAGCTGACACGATATATCTTACCAAAGCGCCATGTAAATGAAAACTCAACACCGCAGAATTTTTCTGTAGTTGTAGCCCGTAGAGCAGAAATCTGCGGAATTTAGATTTTTCCGTGTCAGCTGATTTCTCCTTCTTTAGATGGTTGCCACTTCGTCAGTTTTGCAGATGGTAAAAAAGTTATAAGTTCCTATTCAAAATATGTTTAAAATATGTGAAATTTACTATCGAATAAGGTTTTTGTTGAAAACTAAGTAGTTTATATTTAGCTACAATCTATTATTGCACGAAAAATTGTGGTTGAAAGGGTAAGTTTATGAAAAGGTATTGAAGAGTGGCAACAGTGTAGTAAGCAACACTGAGGGCTCCAGTAATCGACAAAATTCTGCAAAACAGACTGGCCCGTAGTCATAGTCAAAATAAAGTCGACTTTAAAGTTAGTTGCAGCTTTTTGACATAATTTTCAATGGAATATCTGTCAAAAAAGCTGCAACTAACTTTAAAGTCGACTTTATTTTGACTATGACTACGGGCCACTGCGTTTAAGTATACGTTCTGCGTTCTCGACTAATTTCAGCTATAGTCGCATTTCAGACTTCTACCAAGTAGTTTCGACTTAGTATACGATATACCAAAACGGATTAGTTTGCTGTGAGAGTCGCCAAACTCGCTCTCTCCGAGTTTGCTGCAACAACAATTGCACGCAGTTTGCCAAACAAAATTTCTGCATAACACCGACCTAAGTCGAAACTACTTGGTAGAAGTCTGAAATGCGACTATAGCTGAAATTAGTCGAGAACGCAGAACGTATACTTAAACGCAGTGGCCCGTAGTCATAGTCAAAATAAAGTCGACTTTAAAGTTATCCATCCACATGCCGTCCAGATAATCTCTGTTTCTATATTGGGGATGTGTCCGGTCATAGAAGGCTGGTCGTTGCTGGAATTCACGTGCAAGCATTACATCAAGATCATCAAGTGCTGGTCCTTCACCGCGACGTGGGCGTCCACGCTTTCGCCTGCCCGTCATGATAAAATAATTTTATGCAGACACAAAACTAAGAAAATCAAAATGTAGCGTTTTGTATTTTAATCTGCGTTTCTTTGTCTCTCTTATGTATGTATGTATGTATTTTAACGTAATTGTTCTCTTTCGCTTATATTGCCCCAAATTTAGTTCGATTTTTATATTTATATTTTTTTTTCATACGCACTTTCTAGTGTGGAGTTTTGATAATTTTTCTACAAATTATCGCTTGTTAAAACGAAAAAACAAATTCAGTGGTGCCACTGTATTGGTATTACTTTTGTGTTTTATTTCTATTTTAAGCAATTTTCGTTTTTAAAAGACTGAAAGGAAATGTAAAATCAAGTTTTGGTAATAGTTGAAATTATATATTGATACATATATGTATTTATATATATATTAATTAAATAAATACTATTTTAGCTTTAATTGCTCCGTCCCTTAAAAATATGTGCGTCAGGGTTGCCAATGACAAAAAAAATACTTACCATCCACTTGTTTCCTTCAACCAAAAGCGAAAGAGATGAAATTAAAAGCAACAACGAAACTCCATAATTTCGAAACTTAATTCAATAAAGTCGACTATACTTTTTATTGGAAATTGATAATATAAAAATAACTACCGAAAATTAAGCGGGAGCGGGAAGTTTTTTATTGTTTTTCAAACAAAATACTTTAACAAAAATCAACCAAAATAAAAAAAAAAGTTATCAACCCTAATTTTTTTCTACAAATTTTGGTAATAATTTCGAAAGTGGCAACGCTGATGGGGGCACTTCAGACAGGGTCACCGTGTTAGTAATGTGGTGCTGCATTTATTTGTACACCACCTGTCTGAAAAATAGCAAATAAACGAATTATGAATAATTTAGTTTAATAATAATAACATTAAATCATGTTAATATAAAAAATGTGTGAAAACATCAAGGCGCACACCACAAGTCGGAGGAGAAGCTCGGCCAAACACTAACATATGTGTAAGCGCCAATCTATTATTATTATTAATATAAAAAATGTATAAAAAATTTCTATGGTAATCTAAACATCGTATATTTAATTAATTTTATAAGAAATTGTTGCGTTGTCTGTGTTGATTTTGTAGTACCTAATTTATGAAATTTATGTAGTAATCATACATATTTTTTTAAAGATTTTAACGCAGAGTTTTTTGCTTGTTTTTGGACATACGTACATATAAAATATAAATAAATAAAATAAGTAATTTTAGCAAAAAAAACCAACTCCAATTCTCATATAAAAAAAAAAAAATATATATATATATATTTCATGATCCAGTGATCGGATCTAAACCAGATTGGTATGGGACCACCTCTGAGACACTACCTTTCCGATGCAAAAAGAATTATCGCAATCGGTTGACGGTAACATACATAAAAAAAAATATTCCGACGAACTGATAACCTCCTCCTTTTTTGGAAGTCGGTTAAAAAAGATTGGAGCTCGGTATATTTGGTCAAATTAAAAAAAATAATAATAATAAATAATAGGGAATGATCTTTTTTCTTACTTCTACATTAAATATAAATCTTGCGGTTATTTTGATTATTAAAATCCTCTTGTTTTAAGATTTCATATTTTTTGTTTGGTTGCAAATTTATGAGTAAAAAAATATACCTGCAGATTGGTTGGAATAATCAGTAGAGATAGAGAAACATCGATGTTGCTACTATCGAAGTTTTAAAGCAAAAATGCAAAAACATCGATGCATTGATAGTGCCACGATGTTTTCTCCACCTCTAATATTAGTTGCGTTCGATAACAGCCAACACCAGCCAACCATGAACGAAAGACACATTTCCACATTATTTTTGGTTCATGCCAGCCAACAATCGAAATCAAGAGAGTAAGCGAAAATTCTCTCCCCAAGAGAAGAGAAAGCAAAACTCGAGAAATGCAATTTTGTTTGTTTACAAAAATTGCAACCATATGTTTTGTGATAATATATTTTCGTGTTGGATAATTTTTGCCATGGATAACTAGATATGAAACTCTCTCCCCTTTTCTGAGAGCGCGCCCAGGAACTCGTTTTCGTACTTGGCAGCACTGCCAATCCCTGGGCAGATAAACAGCTGACACGCGAAGTTGTGAGCTACCACTAGATGTGTGGAAAATGCATCACATTGAATTCAGTGGATTTCTTCTTTCCGCATTTTTTAATATTATTGGCTGCGTTTCTTTATACATTCCGGATAATCCCATTTCACAGCCGGAATAAACAGAATGCTTTTGAAATATACGTTAACATATCATCAGGAACGTTCTAAAGAATAAGTAAACAAAAAAGTTTATTCCAAACGTTCAGAATGAATAAAGAAATTCAGCCATTACAAAACAGTAGTTGTAGATAGATATGAAAAATATTGCAACTTTTGTTCGTTGTGTTTAATCAAAAGTTTCTCCATAAATTTCTCTATAAATGCTCATACATGTTTACGTCACAGCGGCTCTACTGGAGAATGTTATAAAAAATACGCACTTTGACAGCGCTCTCACGAGAAAAAGAGTTTCATATCTAGTTATCCATGATTTTTGCTGACTAAAATTTTGCCAGTACAAAATGAACGCTTCTCCTGCATCTAAATGAACGCTTGCTCTCTCAATTTTTGTGTGTTGGATAATTTTTTGTCGTTATCGAACGCCATCCAGTAAAAATTTGGAAAAAACTTTTACAAATTTTTGACTTGTCGAACGCAACTAATCCGATGTTTTATGACAGTAAAGGAAAAAATCTGTTGTCATCATTTCTTGGTGATTTAAACAAATTGGCTTTTATTGATCATTTTGTTAGCAAGCAAATTTGTGAATTCCTTTTTCCATATTAACTAAAATAGAAACCAATCGCATATCAAAAATAAATGCTACATCAAGCATAATTTTAAGAAATGGCTGAAGCGCAAATTGGTCGACGAAATGCATGTATTGTAGTATTGGGCGACATTGGACGCAGTCCACGCATGCAATATCACGCTGTTAGTTTACTCGAAGAAAATTTTAATGTTGATATCGTTGGCTATGTAGAAACAAAGCCGTTGGATGTGTTAGTTAATGCACCCAAATGCAAAATACATGAATTGTCACCAGTGCCTGTAACAAATCTGACACCCAAATTAAAGCTTGTATTCAAAACATTCTGGCAGACTTTGAGCTTGCTGATAGCGCTAGTTTCAATACGTCGCCCAAATTGTTTGCTTGTACAAAACCCGCCAGGCGTACCTACATTGATAGTTTGTTACCTTTATTGTGCGCTTACTCGAACAAAATTTGTCATCGACTGGCATAATTACACGTACACCATATTAGCTTTAGGCAATGTGAATGGAGAAAAGAGTGGATTTTGTCGTTTAGCAAAATGGATTGAACGTTCGTTTGGAAGCAAAGCAAATGCAAATTTTTGCGTAACCAAAGCTATGCAGCAGGATTTGATTCTAAATTGGAATATTGGGTAAACTTTTATTTTAAACATACATATAACATAGAAAGTTTATTTACATAAAAACTACATGCTTTCCTATCCACGACGCAGATTCTTGATTCATATCCATATTTCTATTTACTTTCTTCTCTATAGTCCAGCTGTTGTCTTATACGACCGCCCCCCTACACAATTCCATCCCATTGAATTGGCACAGAAACACGAGCTATTCATGAAATTATCCAAGGTGTATCCACAGTTTCTGCCAAAATGCTATTTGGATTTAAAGGAGTCAGGTGTTATTGAAACAACAGCTCTTACTCAAAAATTAATTAATGGAAACGTTTCACACAAACCACAAAGAGCGGCTATAGTGGTATCTAGCACTAGTTGGACACCAGATGAAGACTTTAGTATACTTCTAAAAGCATTAGAGGGTATTTTAGATAATCATTTTTTACTTGCTATATCTACATACACATAACATCTTTAGATTATGAGAACACTGCTACAGCGCGCCCAAAAAACTTTCCTTCTCTATTGTGTATTATTACCGGAAAGGGACCACAGAAGCAAGAGTATGAAACACAAATTGCTAAGCTAAAATGGTCGAAAGTTTCTATAATTACGCCATGGTTGGAAGTAGAAGATTACCCATTAATTTTAGCGGCAGCCGATTTAGGCGTGTGTTTACACTGGAGCAGCAGTGGTTTAGACTTGCCTATGAAAGTGGTGGATATGTTCGGCTGCGGCCTGCCGGTATGCGCATATAATTTTAAATGGTAAGTACGCACATTTTTTGTGTTCTTAATTACTTTTGCGTGGTTTGATTAAAAAATTTGTCATGGTTTGTATGCATGAGCGTGTTTAAACATAATGAAGCTATTTCAGTCAAGTATTAAGAATTCAACGTATTAAATAAATTATTTATAAGGCATAACGAATACCCCTTGTGGTTTACCAAGCAGTAAGGACGCTAATTTACTTAAAATCTATACACCCCGGCTTATCATGTAGCGGTAGCTTTAGGAAAGGTGGAAAACATATATTTAATACTTGCGCCGGGTATTTAATGTTCGGCTCCGCCCGAACTTAGACTTTCTTACTTGTTATTTCTACTTTTGGAGTACCGCAAGGATCACATCTGAGCCTTAACTTTTTGAATATGTTCATATTGTAGTTGTAAGAGCATACAAATTGCCCAAAGAATTTTTTGGGAGTGTTTGTTGGAGTGACAGCCCTTGGTCAGATATAAATCTGGGTCGTTCCGGTTACGTAGACCCGACTGTCGTGGGAACGTTTAATATTTTTATAAATTACATCGGTGACAAACTTAAGTCTGAATGTTTTCTATGCAGATGACTAAAAAATATATATGTAGAAAGGTACCTCAGCACAAATTCTGCAAGTACATGTAATATTTTTAAGCTCTTCGATGCAACCATGTAACTATAGTAGCCGCATGAGCAGAAGCCAATTTGCCGACTTGTCCTAAAAAGTAATCAATGGTCACATTGTTTCACCTGAAATTCTTGAGCATTTCGGTTTCATTTGTAGGCCTCAGAATAAACCGCCAACTCAAAACAACAAGCCGAAAAGTAACTACCTAGCCGCTACAACAACAAAAAATATTAAATTTTTTCGGATCAACTACCTGCTTGAGATATCACACACAGCTATACGATAATGCATTTGTTATACTAGTTTTATTACATTGAATTGTTCTTGTACTGTAATTATCTTGCAATGTTTAATTTGCTATATTAGTACAAAGCCGATTGGCGTTAAGTGTTAAGCATTAAAAAAATAAATTAAATATTACCTACCTGGACGTACGCAATTCAAGTGGTTTTCTATTTTTCTTTTAGCCTCGGTGAATTGGTGACGCACGGACAAAATGGATTCATATTCGAAAATCAAAAGGAACTGGCGGATCAACTGATATTTTGGTTTGAAAATTTCCCAAGTAATCCGCGTTTACTAGAAACAAAGGAGCGTTTTCGGAAAAATTTGCATGAATTTCAATCATTGCGCTGGCATGGGAATTGGAAAAATAATGCTTTGCCTGTTTTTAACTCTTTTACTTAAAAACACCACGCCAAAACTGTATATAGTATATAATACATGTATAATATTTATGTACACCCACAAGTCTGTTGTTTTATATTTTATTAAACTTTAATTAAATTTTCTTTATTGCTTTTTGCATACAAAATGAAAGTTATAAATGTCCATTAAAAACATTTTTGAAATAAAATAATTAAAAAGCCGATGTTTTTTTATTAATCCTAAGACGCCAAATTGTGAAGGGATGGATAACCTTTACTAAAATGGAATATGCACATAAAGTAGAGAATTGCAATTCAATCAATCCATTTGAAGTAATCACTTCAATACATAAATCGTATTAGGATTCCAATAAATCTAGATATGTATAAATTCAGTCTACTACATAGTGAATTTAATTTTTATTTGAGGATTAATTGTCGTAAACTTAGAGCTTAAACAGACGGCAGCGTTGATCCGGATCAACTCGGGAATTAACTGCAGTTGATCCGGATTAAGTCGCAGTTGATCCCGATCAACGCAGCCGTCTGTTTAAGCTTTTACTCAACTCAAAGCAATGCTTATCTTTAAAACAAATTCTGTGATCGAGTAAAGTATTACAAATTTTCAGAAATAGTGACCATGACGAATATATTTCACATGTGCTCTCCACAAACCGGGCAATTATTTGAATGACATCTACACTTGTTGTAGCAGGCGTCGTGCAACGCATGTCCGCAACGGAGCTTGGTCATATTATCAATCTGCATAACCTTCACGCATATAACGCAGACATCTCCGGGCTTACTAAAACGATAAATAAAATGTGATAATCAGAAATTCACTTCAGAGTGGTTGGAAATGTGAAAACAAATTTCAAAACATGTTTATACTAACGTAATAAAGCTTTCTCTAGATCTTCCACGAGTATCACCGCGGCTTTCGTCACGATAATTAAGTGCTTGTGGTCGCGTCAGTACTAAAGCAACCATTCCTACACAAACTCCCAGCATGAATTGCCATATAGGAATCATTCTGGGGATTCGATTTCATAAAAACTTAATTCTATTCTAAAGCTGATGCCACATAAAACGTTTGCTTCGCTTTACGTGACAGATTCGCTTTGACAGCTAAGATGAATTGTATGAAAATGCACAAAGCATGCCACATAGATCATTGAAGCTGCAGCGCGAAGCGAAAAGATGGCCAACTCCCATCTTTTTGCGCGCTTTGACAATCAGCCGGTTTAATATTTATTTTGTTTCGTCCAAATTCGAGTATTCATGCTGAAACATAAAACTCAATTACATTGCTGATAATTTTAAAGCAAAATATCTTAAATCCACAGCAATTTTGACGAGTAAAAAAGCAGTGCAAAATTGATTTCTTGGCGTTCATTGTGGCATACCTTTTGCGTCTGGCGCTTTGCTGGCAAATTTATAAATGTCACGCAAAGCTACAAAGTTTTATCTGGCATCAGCTTAACAAACTTTTTTATGTAAGGTCGGTGTTATGCAGAAATTTTGTTTGGCAAACTGCGTGCAATTGTTGTTGCAGCAAACTCGGAGAGAGCGAGTTTGGCGACTCTCACAGCAAACTAATTTTGTTTGGTCAAACTGCAGCAAATTCGGTGTTGTCATATACAAAAATTTTAAATTTTGCGCGTTACCGCAGAACTCCACAGGCAAACACCGATGGCCTACCAACTGTCATTTTGACGAGCAATGTGATTGCAAGTTTTTGTGTGTGGGTACTTTGATGTCTTGAAATAAGCATTTGCCGCATGACGCCACCAGACAACATTCTCTCAATTTCGGTGTTTAAAAACATTTAAATCTTTAAAAAACTTGCTGAATAATTTCCTAAAACGTAATCATAAATAATCCAATAGGGAATAGATTTTTATTTTGATTCAATATCAAAATTTCATCGATGTTACCACCAGCACGCTTTCTTTCAAATGAAAATATGGCTGTCAAACTATCGAATTGCCTGCAATAGATGTCAAGCAATAAGCGCTGACATATATTGCAGCACATGAGAAATAGGCGGTCTCCATTGGAAATATATTTTGTGACATAGTTATCACAACATCAGTGTTTTCCTGTGGAGACAGGGCC